TGCTGCTCCCGGCGCTGCTGCTGCTGCCCGCGCTGGCAGCCGCCACGGTAGGAAGCGGCACCGGCGCCGTCGGGGCGCGGGCAGGGGCGGGCGCGGCTCCGCTCCGCTCCGGGGGTGCCCCTGGCTCCCGATCGCGCGGTGCGCGAGGGTCTTCCAGCGGAACGGGGATGTTCGCGGGACGGAACCGCCCGGGGTCCGCGCTCGGTCCCGCCCGGGCTCCGTGGGACTCGGTCCGGCCGCCGCTGCCCCCGCCGCCCGCATGACTTCAGTGTCTGCGGGGGGACCAGGTGCCGCCTCCGGTGCCCGCGCGGCCGCCTCGGTAAGGAGCCCTGCGGAGGAGGAGGAGGAGGAGGAAGGCCGGATCCGTTGTGCCCTGGCGCAGCCGCTCCCCCGAGCCTGGCTCGGGGCCGGCGCTGCCCCTGGGAGCTGCAGGGCGGGCGCTGGGGCGGCCCGGCACCCGAAGCAGCCGGGAGCGGGAGCCCGGCGCGTGTCCCCCCTTCCCGTCCAGGGTCCCAGGGCTCCTCTGCTCCCGCGGTTTCCCCGGGGCAGTGGCGCCTGGGCAGGGAGCATCCTGTTCCCACGGGGCTGCAGGGCCGGCAGCCGGGGGAAGCATCTGCTGGCGGCGGCAGCAGCGGCCCTTGGCACAGAGCTGGGCATGGAGGAAAAGCCTCGGGCTGCTGCTCCAGGGACCCGGGAGGCAGGAAGCTCCTCCCGGCGCTGGCGGCCGCCTGCGAGGAGCCCGGCTGTCTGAGCTGCTCCCCCCGCGCCGCAGTCCCCGGCCGGCCACCGAGCCGGGGAGACAGGAGCCCTGGGCACGGATAAGCCAGTTTTTCCAGGTCAGCAACCGGGCCAAAGCCCGGCTTCCGGCATGGATTTTTCCCATGTAGGGGTGTGAAATGGAGTGAGCGGCCCTTGGTGCCAYTGCCAGGCACTCGGCTCCCATCCCCAGGGCCGGGCATAAGTTGCTGCTGTCCCAGATGTGGCTCTGCAGTGGCGGCAGAGGGACGTTCCTGGGGCTGGGGATGCGGCTGGGTAGGGTCCCACGCAGCGTGTCCCACGCAGGCGCTGGGCGAGGGTGAGCARGTGCGAATGACCTCGGAGGGCTCCGACTGCCGCTGCAAGTGCATCCTGCGGCCACTGAGCAAGGAGGCGTGCGGGCGGGCGCGCGACGGCAGCCTGCGTGCTGAGGACTTCTACACGGTGGAGACGGTGAGCTCGGGGGCCGACTGCAAGTGCTCCTGCACCGCGCCGCCCTCCTCGCTCAACCCCTGCGAGAACGAGTGGAAGATGGAGAAGATGAAGAAGCAGGCGCCCGAGCTCTTCAAGGTACCACGTGCTCCGCGGCTCCGCGCAGGGCTGGTCCTGGTGCCTGCGCCCCTCGCTCAGCCCTGGTGCTGCCTCCACAGCTGCAGTCCATGGTGGACCTGCTCGAGGGGACGCTCTACAGCATGGACCTCATGAAGGTCCACTCCTACATCAACAAGGTGGTGGCCCAGATGAACACCCTGGAGGAGGTAGGTCTGTGCTGGGGCAGCTGCACAGCTGGGCTAGGACCTCGTCGTGCTCCCAGGGGACCCTCAGCCCCACAGTGAGCTGTCCACTTGGTCCCATGATGCTGGGGGCCATCTCTATGGGAGATCCCTACACAGGGCCTCATCCCTCCGCTCTCCACAGACCATCAGGAGCAACCTGAGCAGGGAGAGCGAGCAGGTGAAGCAGAGCGTCCTGCACCTTAGCGACCAGATGCGCCGCTACGAGAACTACTCCGACATCATGATGGGCATCAAGAAGGAGATCTCCAACCTGGGCCACCAGCTGCTGCAGAAGGATGCGGCGGCCGACAGCAAGGCGCAGGTAGGGGCCAGGGGTGCTGCCCATGCGCGCGCCACGGTGCCGTGGGACAGGGGACTGAGCGCCGCGCTCTGCACCAGGACACGGCCGGCGGCCGCGGCAGGGACACAGGCCGCTACGCCAGCACCCGCAAGAGCCCGCCCGAGCGGGGCAAGGCCGCGGAGGCACTGCGTGCACCCAAGGAGAAGCAGCCCAAGGCGGAGAAGCCCAGGAAGGAGCCGGCAAAGGGCCGGGGGGCGGCGCAGCCCACGCCGAAGCCCCGGGYGCCCGTGGCGCCGCAGCCGCTGCCTCGCAGCATCACCTACTACAAGTCGCGGCAGGAGGCGGAGGGACCGGCCGGGGGCGCCGGCCGCGGCGAGTCCGGGCTGCCCCGGGCGCGGGGGGCGGCTGCCCCAGCAAACCCGGCCGGGCGCCCAGCCCGCGTCATCCCCCCGTCCGCGGGGACTGCGCCGGGGCTGGAGAGCAGCCCCCCGCGCCCGGGCACCGCCGAGCCCCCCGCCAACAGCACCCGCGGCCCCGAGGCGCCCGGTGGAGGTGGGTGAGCGCGGCCGGGGCGGGAGGGCCAGCAGCGCCCATGGGCGCTGTGCGGAGCCGCCCTCCCGCTGCCGGTGCYGCCCGCAGCGTGCGAGGGCACCCTGGCCTCGGTGGAGCCCCCGGCCGAGCAGCACAGCTATGGGCGCAACGAGGGCGCCTGGATGAAGGACCCGGCGGCCAAGGACGACCGCGTCTACGTCACCAACTACTACTACGGCAACAGCCTCGTGGAGTTCAGGAGCCTGGAGAGCTTCAAGCAGGGTGAGGGTGCGCGGGGCCGGGGTCCTGGGGGCGCGGGGTGCCTGGCAGCCCCTCACCGCCTCCCCATGCCGCGCTCAGGCCGCTGGAGCAACGTCTACAAGCTGCCCTACAACTGGATCGGCACCGGGCACGTGGTCTATCGCGGCGCCTTCTACTACAACCGCGCCTTCACCAAGAACATCATCAAGTATGACCTGCGGGAGCGCTACGTGGCCGCCTGGGCGCTGCTCCACGACGTGGTCTACGAGGCCGCGACGCCCTGGAAGTGGCGGGGCCACTCGGACATCGACTTCGCCGTGGACGAGAGCGGGCTCTGGGTCATCTACCCGGCGGCGGACGACGACTACGCGCAGCAGGAGGTGATCGTCCTGAGCCGCCTCGACCCGGCAGACCTCTCCGTGCGCAAGGAGACCACGTGGAGGACAGGGCTGCAGCGCAGCGCCTACGGCAACTGCTTCGTGGTGTGCGGCGTCCTCTACGCCGTGGACACCTACAGCCAGACGGACGGGCACATCTCCTACGCCTTCGACACGCACACGGACACCGAGGCGGACCCCAGGCTGCCCTTCCTCAACCAGTACGCCTTCACCACGCAGGTCGACTACAACCCCAAGGAGAAGGTGCTCTACGCGTGGGACAACGGCCACCAGATGACCTACAGGCTGCACTTTGCGGTGTGAGCGGCGCCGYGCGGCGCTGCCCCCGCGGAGGTGCCGCCCCCGGCCCCGCGCTGCCCTTTGCTCCCGCCGCTCGCTAGCTTGTTATTTAACGCACGCGCCCCGGGGCTTGGCCCCTGCGCCACCACGGGGCCCGCGCTCGCCACYGTGTCCTGCCCCTTTAGAAGTGAACAGTATTAAAAAGCAACGCGCAAAGCAGGCTCTGCGCTTGTGTCATTGCTGCTGGCGCGGGGTCAGGAGCAGTGGGCAGGGCGTCCGTGCTGCGTCCCCGCGCCCCACGCCGCTCCCGCCCGGCCCTGGGGCTGCCCCGCGTCGGGGACCCGCCGCGTTGCCCCCGCTCGCCCCRTGTCCCCGCCCGGCCCCGCGCTCGCCACAGCGTGTGCAGCTCAAAGACGCCCCTTCCTGAGGCCGCTGAAGCGCCGGTGAGGGGCAGCCCGCGGCCCCGCCACGGGCAGCTCCCTGTCCCACTGCCCACGGCAGCCCATGTCCCCGGCGCACGAAACTGGCAGCATCGCCTGGCTCCATCCTGGGGGAAAGAGGGAATTCTGCCATTTCCAGGTCCGAGCTGCAGCCTGAGCAGGAACAGCTGGAGCCGCCGCTCACTGCCAGGGAAATGTGCTCTCACTTTAACCTGGCAAAAGCAGCAGGAGCGGATCCTGCCCGGCAGCTCCCGGCTGCGGCATCCCTGGCCGGCAGCACCGCGCGCGGGAACGGGCTGCCCGGCGCGGGGCTCCTGCTGCGCGGCCCCGCCACAAGAAAGGCCGCGGGCCGGACTTTCCCCGCGCTGGGTCGCTGCCAGCCTTTCATCTCACACTCCTCGGCAAATCCCTGTCCAAACACTGCAGATTTCTGACATTTTTTTGCAGCAAAATAAACTCCCAGCGCATCTCTAATTCCGGGGCTTTGTTATCCTTCCGCAGGGGCTGCAGTTTTGCTCCGCGCCGCCGTGCTGTGCCGGGGCGAGGGCCGCTCCGGCGCCGCAGGAGAACGCGGCGGCCGCTCCACCCAGAGCCCCGCGCCCCTCTCCAGGCCCTGGCTCTCAGCTCCCYGGAGCAGAGGGAAAATGACCAGGAGAGAAGAACAAACACGAGGGGAATGTTTGTCATTGCAGAGGGCAGCTCCGGGGACATCGCAGGGATGTGAGACATTTCCGCAGCGGCAGCTTTGTGCCGGCAAGCGAGTCGCGTGCAGGGCGGCTGTGGCAGGCAGGATGTGCGCGGTGCTGGAGTCCTCGCCGTGCCGGGATGTGTGCGGAGATGGGCCAGGCTGCTCGCTGTGCTGGGACACACACTGGGACGGGATGCATGCCGTTATGGGTGCGTGTTATGACGGGATGCTCACCGTGATGGGACACACACAGCACATCCAATCCAGGGGCTGGTGAGACCCYGGCCGTGCAGCCCCAAACACGGGGCAGCAGGAGGACCTGCTCTGCAAAACAGCCCATGCCCAAGAAGCGCCAGCTGCAGCTTCCCGGCTCTCCCAGCCCGGCGGCACAGGGAATGGGTCCGGGACCAGCCGCTGCAGTCCCTGTGCCCACTCCCTGCCAGGGAGGACACGGTGCCGGGCCGGCCCTCCCTGCCACCGCGCAGACATTCCTGCCCCCCGCGGCTGGCACCACCTCTGACCGCAGCGATTAGGGGATTAGACCTGCCCGGCGGGGAGGCGGGTGGCCCCGAGCACGGACACGGGAGCCGGCGGGTACCCRAGGCCAGGATGTCGCAATGTGACCAGGAGCGGGGCCAGCGCGGCCTCCGGAGCCTCCCCTGCGGCACCGGCCTCCATCCCTCTCCGAACGGGGAAGGGGAGTCAGCCGGACCTGCCGGTGCCCCCGCTCCCCAGGACTGGGGTGTTGGTAGAGACTCTACTGCGTTCCTAGTCTGGGGAATGGGGGTGGCAGCTGCCCCCGGCACGGCCACATCCCCCGAGGAAACAGGGGCTGCGGAAGCGGCGACGCGGGAGCGGAGGGAAGGGAGGAGCAGCGGGGCCGAGGCGCGCGGCTGACTCACTCCCGAGTGGAAAGGGCCCATGCCAGGCTGGCTGCCGGGCGCCTGGGCTCGGCCAGCCCCCGGCCCCGCTGCCCTCGGGCGGGCGGCAGGCGCCGGCAGGGCCGAGGCTGCTGCGGGACACGGGACTTTCCCACACGTCGGGACTCACTGCCGTTCCCTGTTGCCGCCCCCGCGGGGTCAGGCGCAGCCGCGGGGAGCRGGAGCCCCGCGTGGCCCCAACACAGAGGCTTTTCTCTGTGGCGGCAGCGCCGGCCCCCGCGGCCCCGCCGGGGCAGCAGGAGCCGCGGGCCGGACACTGCCCGCATTGAGGGGCCGCCCGCCCGGCGCTGCCGCGCACAGACGCGCATTCAGGGGCCGCACGGTTCGCACGCAGCTGGGAGCCGCTGCCGCGGGGACGTGCAGGGCTGGCAGGCCACTGCTCAGCGCCCTGCGCCTCCCGCACCGCGGCCTGCACAGCCTGCTGCAGGTGACGTCCGGCACCCGCAC